ACTGTCATCCCAGATACCTCCAGCTAGTGGCCTTTGTCAGGACGCACATGTTCAAGCTGGGGGTCAGGACAGTGACTCCCACTGGACTGCAGGGAGTCCATGAACTGCTCTGCTGGCCATCCTGGTGGCTGGCCATGTCAGAGGGCTGTGGGGGGGCACAGAAAGGGAGCCTCTGGAAGGCCCGAACGGAAGAGGAAAGACAGGGCTTGGCCTGGCAGACGCTGGGGTAGGGGAAGGGAGGAGGATGACCAGGATGACAGTGAGACCGGTCAGGCAGCTGAGCTCCAGTCCTCTCCTTAGCGGGGTACCCTGGATGGACCAAGGCTTTGCCATCTAGGATTTGGGGTCACGACACCTGCCCGAAGGTTGGGTATGCGCCAAAGATGGACTTGCCCACAGAGTAGAGCCCAGCCCCCACTGCTGCCCACAGATGCCACTGCTGCCAACTCCGAGAGCCGGTGGGTCACTATCCCCTAGAGTGGACGGTCCACTTGGCCCCCCAGCTGGACTCCTGGCAAGTGCACTGTGGGCTTAAGGAGTGAAGGACTAGAGGGTGGCACCTACTTGGTGACACTGTGGCTTTTTAATGGTGACATTGAGCACGTCTTTCTGTGCCAGTCATCAGTGTCTATGTCTTCTGGGACACCTGGTTAAAAAAAAAAACAAAAAAAAAAGCTCCAAAAAGTAGCAGCTGCCTTCTCTTTTAGCAGAGGGGGAGACTGGAGCACAAGGAGCAGGTCGGGGAGGCTGGGCTGCTTACCCGGAGCTCCCCAATGCAGACACAAGGCCGAGCTGAGTGCGAGTTGCCTACTGCAGTGGGAGTACCCCGCCCCTGGCCTGCATCCTGGCGGGCCCTGGCCGGTCCAGCAGTCTCTCTCCCTCCCCCAGGCCCACCTCTGGCTCTGGCCTGCAGCAGTTTCTGGTCAGGGAGCTGGAGGGTTTACCGCAGCCTGGGCGGGACCTGGGTGGGGCTCCAGCCTAGTCATTATAAACACGACCAGTTCCTCTGTTTGTCCAGTCCTCTGTGTGGTGCCCAGAGGAAAGGGGCGGCCCTGGCAAATATCCGGAGGTGTGTCCTTCCACCCCCTTCCCCTGCAGGGTGGGCCACATGCTCCAGGGGGCCAGGGTGGCTTGGGGACTCACGGAGCCTTTACTGGGCAGACTGCACCTCCAGTCCCACCTGGATGAGTCCGAGCTCCTCCCACCCTCCCGTTTCTGCAGAGGCCCTAGGAGCAGCTCTAGTGCCCCCGTGTGGTGGGAGGAGGGAACCGATGGGCAGGATCCTGTGTTCAAGGTGAGCAGTGGGACTGGGCACACAGAAGACCAGAGAGTGGACATGGGGCACAGAGCCGCAGCATCGGAGCAGGAAGCTGGGGAAGCAGGAACTATGGGTTGCAGGGGTGTCCCTAGGATCTGAAAGCTGGAGGCAGGTGACAGAGCAGGCCAGGACCACCTGCTGGGCCCAGATGGATTCCCTGAAGGGGGATGGACAGTGTTCAGGCTGACTGCCAGCCCACACACAAACACTCTGAGCCCCAGGGCAGACAGGGAAACTGGGCCAGTTGGGGAGGTCTGGCCAGGCCCGGCTCTGACCACCCTCTGGCCTCTTGGGACCAGTTGAGACAGGTTGGCTGCTGGTTCCTACCATCCTCCCACGGGCCACCGCTGCCAAACCTGTCCCCTGGCTGGCTGCCCGCCTGTGGATGGGCCTGCCTCTGGGTTGGAGCTGGCCGCAGCCTCCCTGGGCTGTTCCTGCAGGAAGGGAACTAATAGGGGAATGCCAGTTGCAGCATGGGGGTCCTCATGCCAGGTCAACTGGCTGTCAGCCCTGTGCCAGGCATCATACCAGGCACTTGAGACCAGCACCCCCCACCCCCAGCACATTGACCCAGGCCTCTAGCCCTCTCCTGGGCAGCCTTTCTGTCCCCTCCTGCTGTCAGCTGGGGGCAGGGCTGTGGGGCCCTCAGAGGAGGTAGGCCCTGGGGCGCACTCCGGGGAAGAAGAATGAGTGAAAACACCTTTTCTTCCTGTTTCACAGATGAGTCACCGGAAGCCCGCAGAGGAGCCTTCACCTGCCTGAGGGCACCTCCAGCCCAGCCAGCATCCAACCAGGTGCACAGGGACAGCAGGGCTGGGGCCACCCACAGGGGAGCCCTCCTGGGAACCGTGCCAATGATCTGCCTGCACCCACTGGGGCCCAGGGTGGGTCCGTCTGGGTCAGGGGGTCAGAGGCAGAGAGAGGTTGTTGCTGGAGTCATCTGTCAGCCTTTGGGTTGTTTTTCTGGGCTCCCCATGGGACCGCACCATCCACACACCACCCCTACGACTGACCTCCTTGGTTAAACTTTCTTTATTTGCAAGAGTCATGGAGAGATGTGTCTGCTGGTTTGCTTCCCAAATGGCTGCAACAGCCAGGCTGGACCAGGCTCAGGCAAAGAGCTGGGAACTCCAACTGAGTCTCCCCCATGGGTGGCAGGGGCCCAAGAACTTGGACTATCTTCCCCTGCTTTCCCAGGGGCATTGGGACAGAGCTGCGTCGGGAGTGGAGCTTGAACTGATGCTTGTCTGAGACGCTAGTGTCTCAGGCAGCAGCTTTACCCTGCACCCCCAGCTCCAGTGCCCTGCCTCCTTTATCAGCTTCTGTTGAACATGTACTCTGGGCCTGTGCTGTGCGAGTGCCTGACCCAGCAGTGTGGCAGGGCGGGTGCCTGCATGGATGGACTGCATGTGACAGGGGCTCAATAACTGCTTGTTGAGTGAGGCTCTGAGGATCTGGTGGTGTTCTGGAGCAAGGGGTGGGGCGGGAGGAGCTAGCCAGAACTGAACACTGAGCACCAGCAGTGTGATGGGCCAGGGCCTGGCCAATGACACAGATGGACTAGTGATGGGGTCTGTGCTAGGCTGGCAAGTGCAGGCCCACAGCTGGCTCCTACCAGGGACGCCCACTGGCTTGGGATGCAGGGATGGAGGGACGAATTGTGGGTCATCTTACTTGCTGTGCTCGGAAAGGATTCCCTAGTGTTCGGCCAGCTGAAGGGGGCGTGGGCCGTGGGTGAAAGCCACTGTGGGAGGTAAGGAGGGAAGGATGGGGTGACAGCAGATGCTCAGGGTCCTCAGGGGCCAGGGGAGGGCTGTGAGCAGAGGAGGATGGGACCTGACCCAGTGTTCACAGGAGGAACAGGTGGACCGAGGACCTGGGAGGAGGCTGCTGCCTCTGACTGGTCTGGGTGGAAGACAGGCTTGGATGGGCAGAGGGAAGGAGGGAGATGAGTGGGCAAGTGTCCACAGGCCAGTAACCCCTGCTTCCCCACAGCAGGCCCCAGGTCGGAGCCCAGGCCTCAGCCTTCAGGGTTCCGGGGTCCTGGCACCATGTTCGGGAAAAGGAAGAAGCGGGTGGAGATCTCGGCGCCATCCAACTTCGAGCACCGTGTGCACACGGGCTTCGACCAACATGAACAGAAGTTTACGGGGCTGCCACGCCAGTGGCAGAGCCTCATTGAGGAGTCGGCCCGCAGGCCCAAGCCCCTCATCGACCCTGCCTGCATCACCTCCATTCAGCCAGGTGCCCCCAAGGTATGCCCCACTGTCCACTGCTCCCCTGGCCTGCACTGACCCCCAGAGCACCCCCAGCCTATAACCCCATGCTTGACCCCCACCAAGGGCAGTCCCCCTCTATACTGATCTCCCCACACTTCAGCCCCAACTCCCCTCCTCAGGTCTGGGCCGGCACTACCTCTGTACCCACTGTTCCCCAGGCCCAGTTGCCCAGGCTCACCTAGCAGTGTCCCCTCCAGCCCTGCCCTGTGCCCTGTGTCCAGCCCTGTGCCACATCCCTGTGCTCAGGACCTTCCTGTCAGCAGTGGACACCTATCTCCTGACAGGGCTGGGGTCGGGGAGCCCAGAAGAGGCACTAGAGCCAGGCCAGATCCAGGCAAGCTTCCTAGAGAGAGGGGAGACCTCAGGTGGACCCTAGGGCTCTGAGGGTCGAGGAGCTGGGCTCAGCGCTGGGGAGATGACTCCCAGGAACACTGGAGGTGTACTTCTCCCTGAGCCAGGTACCGGGACCAGAGCGGAGCCTTGTTTCCCAGGCCATGCTCCTCACCCCATGCCACCTCCCAGTGCCATGGCTGCCTAAGCTTGGGGTTGGACCTTGCCCCCAGGGCTGTGGGAATACTGAAGACGGCCCGGGGAGCCAGCAAGCTGTTTCTCTCGGGGTGGGGATGGGTGTGCCCCTCTGCACACTGACTCAGTGGTACCTCCTGTGCCCAGCCCAAGCCCAGCAGGGAGGCCAGGGAGTTGACCACAGACAGTGCTGTCCACATTCAGTCTGGCGATCCCTGCAGGCTCTGGAATACTTGACTTGGCCACTGCTTAAAAAGCTGGAGACTTCATATCCTCACACAGGGTTTGGACTTCTCGGATGACCCAGCTGGAACCCCCTGGCAGCTGCCCATGCCACCCGCCTCAGCTCCCAGCCAGAAGGAAGGGGCAGCGTGTTAGAGGGTGCCTCGCGTCCTGCTGCCCACAGGGGCTGAGGTGCTGGCTTACCTTGGCTGCTCCTCTCTGAGAGAGCCCTCAGGCCCAAAGGCCACTTGTGCACTGCACATGTGCACGGCTCACTTCTGAGGCTTCCCAGCTGGCGGCCCACACTCAGGAGGGCACAGCCCCTGGTTTCCTGGGCAGCCCTTGGCTTCTGCCTGCAGGTTTCCTCTTCTCCGCTCAGCCTACTCCCTGGCACCTTCAGTGCGCCAGGCACTGTTCTAGGCATGGGTGGAGCAGGTGCAAAAGGCTGCCCTCCCAGCACGTGGGCTCTGTGTTGGCAGCGTTACGCACTGGAGGAAAAGGGATGGGATGCGCCAGAGGCTGCAGAGATCTGCAGGAGGGCAGGGAGGGAGCCTGGGGGACGCCAGGCTGGAGGTGACGCTCCAGGCAGTGGGACTGGCCAGTTCAAAGCAGTGGGGAGGCTCACGCCTAGAACTGAGGGGGTGAGAGCCCTGGCGGCTGTGGCTGAACAGGGACGGGGAAGCAGGTAGTCGCCATCACATGCCTTGGGCTAGGCCTTCCTGTCTCCCTGGACCCAACCCTCTTCCACCAGGAGGGCAGAGAGCGTGGCTTGGGGGTGAAACCCTGGCAGCCTACGGGGAGGAAGCCTGGCCCCGGAATCATGTGCTCTGTAGTTACTCAGGGCTAGTGATTGGGGACTTCTCTCCCAACCTCCATCCCACAGGGCAGGGCAACAGCCTGGCTCCCCTCCTGCAGCCATCGTGGTGGGGAAGGGGCTGCAGAGGTCCCCTTGGTGCTGCTCCCCCACCCCCTGCCCAGCCCATCATCACTCCATGGCATTGCTTCATTGTGTCTCTGTCTTGTCTTTGTGTGTGTTGTATTGTCCTGTCCCTGTGTCTTGGATGCACGTCCTGTGTCCCCCTCCTTGCTCGGCCCCCACCCCGCCATTGCCCGGGACCCCAGACCATCGTGCGGGGCAGCAAAGGTGCCAAGGATGGGGCCCTCACGCTGCTGCTGGATGAGTTCGAGAACATGTCGGTGACACGCTCCAACTCCCTGCGGAGAGACAGCCCACCACTGCCTGCCCGTGCCCGCCAGGAGAATGGGGTGCCAGACGAGAGGGCCACGGGGGTGCCAGCGGGCCCAGAGAAGGCGGGTGGCCGAGGCCGGGCACCCGGCCGCAGTGAGGCAGGGGGCGGCAGCGGTGACAGGCGGCGGGCGGGGCCAGAGAAGAGGCCCAAGGCTTCCAAGGAGGGCTCAGGGGGACCCCAGGAGTCCTCCCGGGACAAACGCCCCCTCTCTGGGCCTGATGTTGGCACCCCTCAGCCTGCCCCTGTGGCCAGCGGATCAAAGCTGGCAGCTGGCCGGCCCTTTAACACATATCCCCGGGCCGACACGGACCACCCATCCCGAGGTGCCCAGGTAATAAATAGTCCCTTCCCTTCCCACTCCAATTCCTTTCCCTGATTCTCACCCACCAGCTCCTGCCCACACCCGGCCCTGCGTGTGTCTCTCATCCCCACCACCCATGTGTCTGTGCCCTGGCTCGGGGAGCAGAGCTGAGCCCTGCCCTCCACTCACAGCCACCTCTCTCTTCTGTTGCAGGGAGAGTCTCGTGATATGGCCCCTAATGGGCCATCCTCAGGTGGTCGCGCAGTCCCCCAGTCCTCCTCCCGACCTCCCACCCGCGCCCGCGGCCCCCCTAGCCCTGGAGTGTTGGGTCCCCACGCTTCCGAGCCCCAGTTGGCCCCTCCGGCCCGCACCCCTGCCGCCCCCTCTGTGCCCGCTGTCCTGCCAGCCCCAGGCCCCCCAGGCCCCTCTGGTCCTCCTGGCCCCCGTTCGCCACAGCGTGAGCCACAGCGAGTGTCCCATGAGCAGTTCAGGGCAGCCTTGCAGCTGGTGGTGGACCCTGGGGACCCCCGCTCCTACCTGGACAACTTCATCAAGATTGGAGAGGGCTCCACGGGCATCGTGTGCATCGCCACCGTGCGCAGTTCCGGCAAGCTGGTGGCCGTCAAGAAGATGGACCTGCGCAAGCAGCAGCGGCGCGAGCTGCTCTTCAATGAGGTGGACAGGCTGCCCCGGGCTGGGCTGGGCCCCCTCCACCCTGGCCATCTCTGCCCATGCTTAGGGTTCCTGCTTCTGCCCACCACACATCTCTGTCCCCAGGCCTGCCTCTCCCTAAGTATCAACCCAGGATTCTCCCTTGGGGACTCTTTCCTCCTGATTCCCCCATCCTTAGGCCAGAGCCACAACTCCCCGGTCCCCCTACCTCCAGCCCCATCTTCTCCCCTCTTGTCGGACATCACCCAACATCCCCCACCCAACAGCCTGGGACTCTTCCTAGCAGCTGGGCCTGCCCGTTCTGCTCCCTGGCACCCTCAGGACAAGGTCCTGCCTACCTTCCCCTGGTCTCCATCTTGGCTTTGTGCAGCTCCGGTGCTAGGGAACTTGTTCCAGAGGTAGACCTTGGCTCATTCCCCAGGGAAGGTGGTGTGAGGAGTATCCCCAGTGCCAGTTCCTCCTTCCTGTCTCAGCCTGCTGCCTATGCCACAGTGCCCAGTTTTGTGCCACAGGCGTCTGCACAGCGTGCCCCACTCCCCCAGCCTCCCTAGCAGGTCCTTCTCACACCTGAAATTCTGTCTCCTCCTCTACCTACCTTATTTATACCCTTTAACCTCACCCAGCACCTGCTTCTCCATCTTTCCTCCACTCCGTGCTCCAATTCCTCCCTTCTTCCTTCTCCCATCACCAGCCTGGGGTCACTCAGAGACCAGGCTAGGCCTCGCTTGAGGTTAGGGTCAGAACACATCGTTGGAGACCTCAGGCTGACTTGGAACTCAGCCCTGCTTTTGGGGGTGCAGGGAGGCAGTCCAGGGTGAGCCAGGGCTGGGGATAGAAGCGGGCCTGGGCTGGAGAGGGAGGCGGGAGGCCTGGCTGAGCTGGCCTGCACCCATGGCCAGGTGGTGATCATGCGTGACTACCAGCACGAGAACGTGGTGGAGATGTACAACAGCTACCTGGTGGGCGACGAGCTCTGGGTGGTGATGGAGTTCCTGGAGGGCGGGGCCCTCACTGACATCGTCACCCATACTAGGTACCGCCCGGCTGCTCCCTGGGGTGGGGCTGGGTCTCCCAGGACTGGTGCGGGGCCTTTCTGCCCAGCTGTTCCCCCTGTCACCACCATGCAGGATGAACGAGGAGCAGATTGCGGCCGTGTGCCTGGCCGTGCTGCAGGCCTTGTCCGTGCTCCACGCCCAGGGTGTCATCCACCGGGACATCAAGAGTGACTCAATCCTGCTCACGCACGACGGCAGGGTGAGGAAGCAGAGGGCAGGCGGACACTCAGGCCTCCCAGCCTCTCCCCACTGCCCTCCCCTGCAAAGGGAGGTGCTGAGCCCAGTGAGTGAGTGGCTGGGGCAATGGGCAGTTGCTCTCCTGCGGTCGCATGAGCAAGGGCCCAGGTCACCAGGGGTTGCATTGGTGCTGCTAGGGTGTGAGGGATTTGCCATTGATACAGGATGCTGGGAACTGTAGTCCAGGCCTGACCCGAAGGGACAGGCTTCTCCCTCCATGAAAACCAGCTCCCAGCCTAGCACCCCAGGTGGCTCTGGGCCTGTCTCCCATGTTTTGGACAGAGATTCTGAGTCTGGGGCCAAGGATGAACTGCACAGTGCCCAGGAGTCTGTTTCTGACCCAGGAGGATGTAGGTTCTATGGGGAAGGCCCTGGGTGGGGTCCAGGCAGGCTGGGGCCTCCCCCCAACCAGAGGAGTTGACGGGGTGGCAGAGGGAGAAAGCAGCCTGTGAGACCCCAAGGCATGGCTGCAGGGGGGGCCGGCGGCGCAGCCCCAAGAGTCCGAAGGCCACAGTGTGAGCCCTAAATGCCAGCTGAGCAAGGCAGGGGCCTGTGCTCCCAGCTTGGGCCTAAAGACCCCTGCCTCCAGGGAGCAGGGCCCAGGACTCCAGCTGCCCCCTCGTGACCTATGCCCCGCCGGGGCAGGGGCAAGTGAGGGAATTGCTCAGTGGTCTGGCCATGGGCCAGCCTGACCTCCAGCTGCTCCATGGAGCCTGTGTGTGTGAGCCCCAGGCATGAGGCAAGTAGACAGCTGCCCACCCTCCACCCTGGGCCAGCCCTCTGAGCCCGCCGCCTCTGCCCCGCTGCAGGTGAAGCTGTCAGACTTCGGGTTCTGTGCCCAGGTGAGCAAGGAAGTGCCACGGAGGAAGTCCCTGGTCGGCACCCCTTATTGGATGGCCCCAGAACTCATCTCCCGCCTGCCGTATGGGCCAGAGGTGAGTGTCCCGGCAGCTCAGGACCAGCCCAGCTGCCTGGCCCAGAGACCACAAGTGAACAGGCCGTGGCCACGATGGCCTATGATACTGTTGCAGGTGTTTTCAAGCAAGGGCTGCCCTGCCCTGTCAGGGCCAGGAAGGTGGCCACTCAGAGGCAGGATTTCCACCCAGGGATGCTGTGCAGTGCTGAGAAGGGGCAAAGGCCACAGACTCCACCCACCCCAGCCACCCGCCCTTACCCCCTCCCTCAGCACCACTATAAAACCGGAGCCCATCAGGACAGGGGGCATCACACTAGGCAAGCAGGCAGGTGTGAGAGCCTGAGGGGATAGTGTGGTACAGGCTTTCTGCGTGGAAGCTCGGTCCCTGGAACTGCGACTGTCTGAAGGACGGGTTCCAAATTCAGCTGGTGCCCTCCTGCACCCCATTTCACTGCAGCAGGTGTTCCCCGGCAGGATCCGAGGTGACCCCTGGCAACTCGAGGACGTGTCTCTGCAGAGTTGACTGATGGGCTCAGCATGGATCCTGTGCTGGTTCCTGAACTGGTCACTGTGTCCCCTGACCACTGCAGGGGCTACATGCCCATGGCCTGAGGGCTGGAGGAGGTTTCCCCAGAGGGGACCCCAGCGTGGGAGGGGGGACAGCACCCTCCCCAAGCCTCGAGGAGGCAAAGCCAAACCTGAGGCCTTCCCTCCCTGCCCCCCACAGGTGGACATCTGGTCACTGGGCGTAATGGTGATCGAGATGGTGGATGGGGAGCCCCCCTACTTCAATGAGCCCCCCCTCAAAGCCATGAAGATGATTCGGGACAACCTGCCACCCCGGCTTAAGAACCTGCACAAGGTGGGCCCTGTCCTGCAGGGGGCGCTGCCAGGGAGTGGAGTGGGGGGTGTGGGACTGAACCCAAAACCTGAGCATACAGTGTTTCCTGGGCCATTGCTGCCACCCACACACCCAGGCCTAGGCTGGCCTGGCTGCAGGCATATGGTGAGGCCGGGACAGGGTCTTCCTGGCCAGCAGTCGCCTGGTGGGCAAGGGTGCCTCCGGCGCCTTCACAGTCCTGCCCAATGGGGAGGAAATAGGCCAGGGTTGGGGTTGTCTTCATGTTTACTGCCAGCCCTGGGCCACACTATAGACAGCTGTGACCTCCTTGTTCCTATCTGGGAAGTGGCTGCCACCAGCTCGGCTGATGGAAGAGGGCGTGCTGCCTCCTGTCCCACTGACTGTCCCCTGCCTGCCCCACAGGTGTCGCCGTCCCTCAAGGGCTTCCTGGACCGTCTGTTGGTGCGCGACCCAGCGCAGCGGGCCACAGCAGCTGAGCTACTCAAGCACCCGTTCCTGACCAAGGCTGGGCCGCCCTCCAGCATCGTGCCCCTCATGCGCCAGAACCGCAACAGATGAGGCCTGGCACCTGGGCCGAACCAAAGAGCCCCTGGGGTCACACTGCCCCACCAGAGGCCAGCGGGGGGCAGCCCCGCACCTCCCTGCCTGGGGCGTTTGCAGGGGGGCCATGGGGACCCCACTACTGAACTCTGGTTTTCATTTTGTGACTTTGCAAAAACTACAGGGCCTCCTGGAGCAAATGAGGCCCTCAGGACCCCTGCCTCCCGGGACAGGCCCTGCCCGCATTCTCCTGGCCGAGGAAGGACTGGCGGCCCACCACCACTGGAACCCCGCCACAGGGTCGCGGGGGGCTGCAGGAACACTAGGAATGAGGCGTGTGTGTGTGTGTGTGTGTGTGTGTGTGTGTGTGTGTGCGCGCGCGCATACAGCAGTGTTCACGTGTGCACACCAGTATATCTGTGTGTATACACTAGTGAGTACATGTCTGTACACTGTGTGTATGCTGTGTGCACACGTGTGTGCATGTGGGGTGGGGAGGCAGCTCCTCTGCCCACCAGCCCGTGAGGTGGGCGTGTCTGAGACCTGGCCCGACCCCCCACACCCCACCCCCTGAGCCACTGTGGGGGCCGATCATGAATGTCTGACGCGTGGCCTTCTCCCCAGCCCTCTGTGCCCGTCTGGCTTGATGGAGGGACAGGTTAGGGCCTCCGCCCAGCCAAGCCCCTGTAGCCAATGACTACTGCACCCAGACAGTGCCACCTCTTTTCTAGAAGTCTATTTATATTGTTTTATAACACTCACACCCTCCTCCCGTGGGGATGGATGGTCCCCTTGTGCTGGGTGGCAGCGGGACAGAGCCCCTGCCTGGAAAACTGGGTTCCTGCCCTGGCCACCCTCCCTTTCCCCTCCCCTATTCCCTCCTGTGCTAGTTTTACAATTAAAACTTTTTCTTGTTTGGTGTGGCTGTGTGTGGTGGAGAGAGGCCCTGCCCACCTGAGAGCTCTTAGGCAGGGGGCACTGACAGCCCAATCCCCGCCAGGGTCTGGTGAGACAGATACCGTGGGCAGGTAGTGCCCACCCCCCACTCCCTGGGACGGGCAGGGACAGAAGCAGCCAATTGGGCCACAGTCCTTAGACTAGACAAGCCAGTTGGCCAAACCTCTAGTTTCCTGGAAATTCGGCACATTTGTCTCATTCTGTGGGTGGGAGCTGACCCTGGCAAGTGGAACTGCCCAGGCTGCCAGCAGGAAGGGCCTCTGCCCCCAGCCACGTGGGCCTGTGTCAGATACTCACCTGGGCAGACCGTCACTGACCCGAACAACAGTAGCTGTGTAGGGACACTTGGAGGCCGAGCTGGAGTGGCTGTATTGGGGGTGGGATGGGACGAGATGCCAAAATTGGTGATAAAAGAAAGGGAGCAGGAAGAGAACAGAATGACCCCCCTCACCCCCCAAGAAGGGATCCTTTAGCCCCAGAGGGAGAGGGGCTTGCCAGTACCCATGCACGGGTTGTGCATGTCCAGCGCATCCGCAGGGATTCTCCACCATCGAGTCAGAAGGAAGTGTATCGGGCCCTTGCCCTGCTCCCAGCACAGGCTGTTGCATGCATGGGACCCCACAGCACCATGCCCAAGGGCAGCTCAGGTGGGTCTCTAGTTACAGAATGCTGGGGGAGCCTGAGTGCCTGGCACTTGGTGAACTGGGACTGGCAGGAGGTCTCTGCCACCCTGTGGCTGGAGGAACTAAGGAGCTGCTGGCATTCCCTTGGGCTGGGCAGGCACAGGGAGCCACTCTGCCCCAATTGTACCAACAGGCATGGAACAAGTGTCACAAGGACAGGGGGCAGGGTGAGGGAGCACCTCACACTGGCCAGACCGGGTGGTTCCAGGAAATAGCAGCAGTCCTGGAACTTGTTGGAAATGCAAATTCCCAGACTGAGCCAGGAACCCTGCCGTCGCTGGGCGAGGACTGCCATGTGTTTTTGTCAGCAAGTCTCCTAGGGAACTTACACCTGCTAGAATGTGGGGATTCGAGATCCGTGCTTTCTCCCCGCCACCTACATATACCAAGTCCTGGTGTCTTCTCCCTTGGCCATCCTGCTGCCTGACCCTCCGCCATGGAGGGCAGTTACCACCACAAGCATGGGGTCCTGAGGCCCTCAGGCAGACCTGAACTTACCCTGGCAGTGCTTAATCAGACAGCCATGCCCCCCGCTAAGGCAAGGGAAGCTGGGAAATGGTAGTCTCCCTTGCAGATGACTACTGCACATCTAACAAGATTTCTCCATCCTGCTGTTCCCCAGATAGACACCTGAGTCCCCACCCCAGACCCCGGGAGGCAGGCAGTGGGGGAACCGGGGCTAGCTCCCAGCTCCCAGCTCCTCCTCTGGAGAGCGAGTTATCAGAGAATTATGCTGTCGGTGTTTTAGCAATTTTTTTTTTAATCTTAAGAATCTTTAAAAAAGAGCTGGAGGACTGCTGAGTTAAATTTCCCTCTTTCATTGTCTCTGTCTCCACGTCTCTTGCAGCCTCCTGCTGAACCATGCCTTTTTTGTTTCTTTGTTCTGCTTTATAAAGTTTATTTATTTATTACCGGAAAGGCAGATTTTCATAGAGAAGGAGAGACAGAAAGATTTTCGTCCACTGCTTTACTTCCCAAGTGGCCACAATGGCCAGAGCTGAGCCAATTTGAAACCAGGAGCCAGAAGCTTCTTCTGGGTCTCCCATGTGGATACAGGATTCCAAGGCCTTAGGCCATCCTCAACTGCTTTCCCAGGCCACAAGCAGGGACCTGGATGGGAAGTGGAGCAGCCGGTATACAAACTGGCGCCCATATGGGATCCCAGCCCATGCAAGGGGAGAATTTAGCCACTGAGCCATTACACAGGGCCCTGAACCTTGTTTCAACAGGGAGCCAAAGCCCAGGGTACAATACATGAGTAGTTCCAGACACCACGAATTGTAAAGGCAGCCTCCCCCAGCTCCCAGCTCCCCTCCCCAAACATGCTGCCCTGGGTCCAAAGTCCCATGTTTCTTCTCAGGAAGAAAATCAGATGCCCAGTGGGTTATGTCCTCAGCCCCCACAACACCCTTCTTGCGAGTGTCTCCGTAGCCATGACAAGCAGCCTTGCTCCTGGTGCAGGATGCCCTGGAATAGCGCCCTGGGTGAATTTACTGGCAAAAAGGACAGCTGTGAGCTGAGCCCTACACGGGGTCTGCCAGAGGAGACAGTGCCTGCACCAAGAGTTAGGATTTAAGTCCACTTCTGCCAACTTCCTGAGGCCCTTGTCTTTGGGCAAACAAGCCTCTTCATGCTCTTCCGGCCCCCTCCACTGCCCCTTCAGCTGTCTTCATGAACCACTCTCTACTCTCGGCTGACCTTCAGGGTCCTCCTGTGACTTGGACCACCCCCCGCCACCGTCTCTCTGGTTCCCTTTCTGGGCGCCCTGCTTCATTCCTGCCTCTCTCGCGCCCCCTGCAGGAGGAAGTTGGCCACAGCCCCTCAAAGTTCTGCAATCCACACTAGGGGTTCCTCTCCAAGCCTGGCTGCACCTCAGCAGGACTGGGCCTTGTGGAAGCCCACCCACTCCTGAAGTGGGAGAGCACCAAAAAGGCCCAGAACCCCAGTCCAGGGAGACACCCTGATTTGGGGACCCACAGGGAACAGAACTGCTCTGGGCACCTCCACTCAGCCAGGCTTGCAAACCACCCTGAGTGCCAGATGGTGAGGGGAGAGACCTGGCAGTTTCCGGAGCTCCTCCCCGCCCCTAGCAGGAGCGAGCAGTACCCGAGACACATGCTTGGTCAGTAGCAGGGCTGTGCCCTGTGCATAAGTGAGCCTAGGGTGCAGGTGCAGGATGACCAGCACCAGGATAACCCGGTGGTTATAAGTACCCCATATGTGTCCCAAGTATTGCCTTGTAGGAGATGAACAATGAATGCCCCCACTGTTGCTGGGCCGAGGCAGACAGCCTGACCACAGCTCTCTAACCCAGAGCAGAGACGCAGCCAACTGGACTTCCCATTGCTCTGGCTCCTCCTGTCCTGCTTCCCGGGACTCTGTGCTTGCCTCCGAGGGGATGAAAGCTGCTGGGATGTAACCAGGTGAATTGTACAGGCTGACTTACAAACTGGGCGGAAACCCACATTGTATCCGAGGCCCTTGGGGAGGTCGGGAGAGATTTTAAGGAGAGGGGATCTGGGGTCACCCAGCTGACAAGAACCTTCCTGGGAGTCAGACACCAAGAGCCAGGGTCCTAACCTGGGCTGTGCTTTCTGGGGGGGTTGGGGAGGGAACACTCAGCCAGTTAAGAACAGGAACATGTGACCCAGGCTACTGGGGCTCCCATCCCAGCTCCCCCGCTTCCTGGATGTGTGACACTGGACAAGTCCCTTCAGCTATCCATGCCTCGGTTTCCACATCTGCCCAGTGGATATAACAGGGAGACCCGCCATCAGGTGTGGATCTGGCAGGTACACACACAGCTTTGGCCCACAGCGAGCACCCCTTTGTGGCTTTGGTATTTTGGTCACGGACATGGTGACGCTCCACAGCTTTGCGAGTGCCCAGAGCTGGTGGTGAGCTCCAGCCTTGCACACCTAGGGACCCCTAGACCTGTCCACTTTGGAATGCTGGGCACTTGGCTCCTCCATGTGCGCCACTTGATGTCCACTCGCTGCCACCCCTGGAGCTCCCCCCACACACTTTCATTGTCCCACATTCACTGCCAGCAGCCTTCTTGCTGTTGCCTAAGCAGCCTAGGCTGGAGCCTGCACCTGACCAGCTCCTTTGTCTTCTCCAGGTGGCTGCTCAGAGGCTGCCTCCTCTAAAGGGAATGCCCCCTGCCCGCCTTCTTCCTTGGCCACCACAACTACAGCCTGCCAAGTGATCACTCCTAAAAATCCAGCCGCCATCTGGGTCTCCCACGTGGGTACAGGGGCCCAAGCACTTGGCCCATCCTCTGCTGCTTTCCCAGGAGCATTAGCAGGGAGCTGGATCAGAAGTGGAGCAGCCAGAACTCCAATATGGAATGCCACTGTCACAAGTGCAGCTTAACCCATTGGGCCACCACGTCTGTCCCTTTCCTCAAAGCCCAGGTCTGGCCCCTGAAGACACCGAGAGTTGTGTGTGTGGTGACCAGAACAGAGGGCATGGCAGATCCTCGTTGGCCCTCGTTGCTTTACACAAAGTGTGGTGTCTGTTCAGAGGAAGAGCGGCTCTCAAGGTGGGGGTGGGGGTGCCCTTTCCTCTCTTGCCCGTCTGGGCTGCCAGCAGAGCCCCCAGCCCTGAGGCACACACACTGCTTGTGTTTACACAGATGACAGCCTGGGAAGGCACTTCAGAAAGTTCTTTGAACTTCAAAAGACATTTCATAGGAAATCAGAGGTGCAGAGAAAGAGCCCCCATCTTCTGATTGACTCCCTGAGGCCTGGGCAGAAGCTGGGAGCCAGGAACTACCGCCAGATCTCCCCTGCAGGGGGAAGTGTGGGGAGCAAGGACCCGAGCTCACCGCACAGGAGCAGGAAGCCAGAGTCGAGTCAGGAGCCGGAGCTGGGATCAAACCCAGTTACACAAATACAAATGCTTATGTCCCAGAATTTTTTTTTTTTTAAGATTTATTCATTTATGGAAAGGCAGAGTTACAGAGAGAGGAGACAAAGATCTTCCATCCGCTCGTTCACTCGGTTGCAATGGCTGGGGATGGTCAGGGTAAAATCAGGAGCCTCCTCCCTCTGGGTCCCCCAGGTGGGTTCAGTGGCCGAAGCACTGGGCCATCCTCCGCTGTTTACCCAGGCACAGCAACAGGGAGCTGGATGGGAAGTAGAGCAGCTGCGATTCCAACAACTTAATCTATAGCACCATGATGCCACCCCCTGCATGGAATTTCTTTTGTATATATATATATTTTTTTTATTATATTTTTGACAATCTGTACATAGTTAATTAGGGTAAAAAGT